AATCTTACCGGTACTAGCTACCAAAGCTTCCCCGTATGATATCGTGGAAGATCTTGCCAGCATCAAGGCGAACATCACGATGGCCCAACTGATCGAGACATCACTGGCACAGAGGATAAAAATGTCAAAGGGAATGCGAAGACCAATCCAAAAGTTATCAAAAAAATGGAACTTCCTACAAAAAGTAAAGACTACCTCAGCTTGGTGTGAGGCCTTTATCGGTAAGACTCCTGTAGACCTGATTATCGACACTGGCGCGTCTGGATGCGTGGTCATGCAAGAATTCCTGAAACAAAATCAGATTCCAATACAACGACCGTCAAATATAAAAATGTCGGACATCAATGGATTATCGAAACAACCTTTGGATGCCATTGACGGATTTAAAATTACCCTGGGTAATATTACTATACCGGCTAATGTCGACGTTACGGAGGCTAAGACTTTTAGTGTCCTCGTAGGAATGGATTTCTTAGGAAAGATCAGGGCAAATATCGATTTCCAAAAGAAAATCATGGTTTTTCGGTGGGGAGAACGAAGGGACGAGATCCCTGTTAAATTTATCCATTCAATTGAAGAAGTATCTGATGATGAGACTAACCCAACTGCTTCAGAGCAAGAGACTGAATCGGAAAGTGAGGAAGACATCGACAGTGAAATAGAAGTTGAAAAACAGAATTTAGAGAAAAAGAATTTTTTAATGTACACCACGACCGAAAACGATTGGCAAACCACTCGACCACGAACTTGGAGAACTGAGTTTCCTGTCGAAAGACCGGATTACAGTAAATGGAAACCCATCAAGCACTGACCGTACGCAATATCGATTTTAGATTTCAACCAGGTACCTCAGCGGATAATCCGGAGTGTTAATGTGATAGCAAACGTGGAAGTATATCGCGAAGGTCTTAAAATCCAATCACAATACTATACCTGGGAGGAAGCCAACCTCATTAAGGGAAGATTCCAACGCCCATATCCACAATCGACTAGATGGGGTTACGACTGGAAAGGACCAAGGAAGTATTGTTGGTGTGGAGGACAACTAGTCACTGCATACCAGCAATGTCGGAAGTGTTATAACGACTTGTCTAAATAGATAGCTATTGAAAGGTTTAAGCCGTATGGAATCGATTGGAAAACCGAAAACGATTGGGCACAAGAAGCGGAATAGGAGCTATTCCTATCTCAAAGAGTTAGAAGGAAGTTTCAACACTATGGTGAAGCGACGGAGATTATTACACCAATCACCCAGATCGATAAATGTGCCGAATGCCATCTATATTTGGATCGTTACTACCTCAACGTCTACTACCAATATAGTGACACTCAAGCCGAAGCTTGTGAAGATTGTTATCGAGAGAAGCGACTCGGACTCCCCGCTTGCGAATTGTGCGGACAACGAGATAACGCGAGATCCATATATATTACCAGTTCGTATGAGAAACGATACTTTTGTGACTATTTACATCAAAGCGTATGGTGGTTTAACCGAGGAGGATGGCAAAATAATCGACGAACAATAGCAAAACTTCGTGGCTGATATGGTCTATACGAAGTATACCAAATGTGCAACGAAATTGGACGAGCAATTGTCACCAGATACCTACAACCTGGTGAGTTAGAAAATGAAATGGAAATAATCCAGTACGAAGGGATAGAGGAAGCAACACCTAGTGTTCCTATGAACTGAACTGAACCGGACTTTTGCCCGAGTTCGAGTTCGGTTCGAAATTCGAACCGAACTCGAA